CAGAAAGAATTTAAATTTACAGATATAATCTCAAGTTATTAAGAGAAATAAATGCGCAAATAATAATTGGAATAGTTGATGAGATGATAATGAAATTAATTTATAAAACAAATTTAAACGGGATTTTCATTATAAATAAGATATAAGATCCTGCAAAGGTAAAACCGCGCAAAAAAAAGAAAAAAGATGAAAGGGTATAAAAGGAAAGACACGATGTCGCAATTCCAAGAAAACCAAGAGGGTTGCCTTGGTCCTCGAATAAATCGTTTCAATTCACCTCGCGAAAATATTTCTCGCGATCAAAGACGCGTTCTACCTCCAATTCCGACGTTGTGTACAATAAAATAGTGAACTTTTATCGTAATAAATCCCAACAACCGCTTTAGCTTCTAAAAACAAAGAATTTAAGACGTTTAACGTTTCCTGAATAATTTATGTACGTATTATCAATGAGTGTGGGAACAGAAATATCTCTGAATAGCTTTAATAACGTGTCGTATTTTATCTATCTATTTTATAACTTTCCTCATGCATGTAACAGCACGTGCAGCACACAATGCAGCCTAGAAAACCTTTAAAGTAATTTAGAGCGATAAGAACACTTAGTGTTTTTTTCACGAAATATATTTCACATCTGTTTCAATGAAAGTCCCACCGACTGTCATCTTTTCTTGCAACTTTTAACATTAAGTGCTTTGTTCGCGATATCGGAACCTGAACTATACTCGAATCGAAAGTCTGATTTCAGGTAAAATCCAGACAAAATACTACAGACGAGACGGCAGTGTGAACGAACGGTGATCAAGTCGAAGGTTATAACCGGTCGTGTTATTTAAAATCAGAGCAGATCTTGGTGAGGTGACAGTTGTGAGTTTCGTGACATCGGCAAAGATGGAAGGAAGAGGTGAGAGAGAAAGAGAGAGAAAGAGAAGAAGTCGAAACCGTAAAAGTATCGTGCGGTGGAAACGAGTCTGGTGCAATTACTACGAGGCTGGCTATCCTCGAACCAGGAACGAGCGACCAACCACGCCCTCGCTAATGCGAGTCCGCGCGAGACAGGATTTCGAATCGACTCGGCAAGGACGCCTACTATATACAATGCACCCGCGGCACACAAAGACCGGCCCCGCGCGCTACTGACATTTTTTAATTACACCCTGTTTACGCGGCCGAGACTCGGATCGCCAGCGGCATGCCAGTATTGCCCAGCTATCGCCGACAATAAGTTTCGCATGATATGAGCACGTGCGTTTCCGTATCGGCAACCAAAAACTCTCACGATAACCTGAACAAAGACCGTAGGTTTCGTTCTTTCGGTCGGAACGACAAGTTTAAATTCATCCAGGCCTCTCTTATTCTGTAGCTCTTAAGGAAATCTTACAGTTATCTTCTCAGTTTTTTACCAATTATTTCTCAAATAAGTATTTTTCTAACTCTGCCTTCTCATATACAGATTTGAAAAATCTTTTCCACAATCAAAGTAAAATAAACGGTAATGTAAAATGGTAATCCAAATCGGTCTTACCAACTTAATGCCAAAAACTTATGAAAAAAAATTGGAAAATTACAGTTTTTTCATCAGTTCTGACGTCGACTCGTAATAATATTTGTTTCATATACAAGTTTGTTTAATAGGGATTACCATACATGAGCAATGTTGAGTTCTTGAAATTATAGGTTTAGATATTTATGAAAGGTTAGTTAGAAAATTTATATGCGATATTGATGTAATAGTGTATAGTGATGTGTGATGTATCACTGACACGTAAATATATCATTACATTGTCATTGTGCAGATTTTATATATGATAAAAAACTATGCAATATGACAATGTAACGACATCGACACTGTCGTGAAGAATTATAGAATAGTAGTTTTGGCAACGGTTGATTTATATATATATATATAAATTCAAATTGATGAATTTAATAAATGCTAGAAATACAGAAAGATGTATCTCTCGTCAGTTGAATGATAAGCAATTTCTTAAAGAAATTTTAAGAATCGAATGATAATATGCAAGAATAAAAAGACAAAGATGCACAAGAAAGTAACTTTTAAAAATAAATTCCACAATTATATAGGATATTCGCGAATCAAAATATTACAGTAAGAAAGTTTTCGAAGAATTAAGTAAAAAAGATATGTGCACATTTTTATTTCAGTAGTTTTTGAGATTTTGAAGGCTTAAATATAGCCAATTGCAGATTACATTTAGACGATTACCTGTACATGAATTGCGCGTGCGGTAATTTAAGCGTGCACTTCAATATTTAAACGTAGTCCATAATTGGCTATATTTAAACCTTTATTATTTTGCTTAAATATTACAAACTGTTACTTAAAATAAAAATTTACAAATAATTTTTTTTATTCAATTTTTTGAAAATTTTCTTAATGTAATATTTTCGAAATTTCGAAAATTTGAGACATCCAGTATATAATCAAAATTGCATCGGAAACATTAAAATTAAGAATCGTGTGTATAATGCGTCTGTTATAAGAAATTTTGTTATAAGGACAATGTTTTACATTCTTATACCTTATTTTATATTTCTAATAAAGTGTTATTGTTACTATATACATTATTACACAATTTACGTTGTTTACTTCAAATATCAGACACAGTGAGATTTCGTATGTAAATATTTAATTATCTCTCTTACAAGCAACGATAATGGACGTTTGTTGTCAAAGTCCAGCTGTCGAGGAAAAGCGTTAAAAAATGTTATTTAATCGCTCGCCTTGTATCAACTACCTCTTGCACCGTGTTCTCCGAACATATCACGAGAGATAAATTCTCCTCACAAAGATCTCACGAAACCTTTCTAGCGTTATAATTAGCACGCTTGTTTTCAACTACGTGAAATGATAGGTCGATTACTGTAAAATTATTACCTATTACTTACTAAATTGAGGAGTAACGATAAGAAAAATGAAATAAGCTCAAAGGGTAGATCATTTATGTAATGTTTATTATTAACAATGCCTGTTAATTATCTACGTATTGTCATGCGTAATTTAAATGCGTAATATTACAACAATATAATGACATCTCATAATTTTGTTATTTATTTTATTTTTATTTCATTAGTTTAGCGATTTTTTTTTATCAGACTTTAATTATTTATTATCGAAAGCTATTCTTAACGATAATAAGTGCTAGTATTGACTACATTTACACGGCATCCTAAATCAAGTTTAATAATATCCCTAATTGAAATAAAACTGGCCAACCAATAATCATAACATTTTTCACAGAAATAGCTATGATTGATCAGTTTCATAACTACAAATGTTATTAAAAGTGCTTTGATTAAGGGTGCCTTGATCATTGAATAATATCGAACTGTGTATCTAAAAAAAGTGTAACTTCAAAAAAAGATTGTTTATTTAATACATTATCTGTTACGTAGAGACAAATTTAAGAATAAAGTAAGATTCCTACAAAAAATTGTTGTACGTCTCGAATTCTTTTAATCCTTAATTTATTGTTAATTCAATTAATTAATTCAATTATATTCAAAAATAAATAAAAGGGGACAAAAAAAACAAAAATACATATATACGTATTTAAGTGATCAAAAGCTTCGTGAAATCGAAGAATAGGGCGATTCGCACAACAATCGCCATGACAGTCCTGGAGATGCGTTTTGCGGAAGACGATAAAACCTGCTCGGTAAACGTTGCGCCGCCAAGAAAACCGCGGATCGGCGGTGGGTTTCGCCTCTGTTTTTACCGCGAAATTTTCCATCACGTACCAGCCGAGTGAATTTCTCGGTTCTCGTACCTAACTATCGACATTGCCAGTCTCATAGTGGTGGTAGATTCGAAAGTTAGCCTTTCGTACGACCGACTCGCCGGCTCGTGTCTTTCTTCGGCAGGGCCGTAGTTACTGCGACTCGACATGATCGGAGGATCTTTACGATCCTCTCCTCGCTCTAAAGTCTAAAGCAACGTCTACAATGAAATTTTAAGACGTAAAACTTAAGCTTTAAGTTTTAAATAAGAAATGGACCATAAGAAATTGACCAATCATAGTCGATTATTCTCCTCACGTTCGATTGCAATTGATCAATTTCTTAAGGCTTAAAGTTTAAACTTAAAATCTCATTTTTTACCGTACCGGGGTTTGTAACGATCTGAGTTGTGTGAGTGATTAATGACGTTACATGCACTACCAATAGGTAGTAGAGCATACAACGTCCAACCTAGATCGGTTCAAATCCGCTACGGTCGAAAACGCTATCTGTACCTGTATTTATATGGAGCACATAAGTGTTGTCAATAAGATCGTCACGTCGGTTTAAAGTATAGAAACAATAACAAATATCGCGTATATTTACAATTCATAATTACTACGGTACTTTTATCTATTAATGTTTCCGCACTAAGAAAAATATCTGATTGTTTTAATTGGAATTCTGGTTGAAAATGAAACAAATCAGATTTTTCTGGTCTACTAGAATTCTGATTGATATGTATATATATATATATATATAATCAGAATTTTCCATTTCATCCATTTCCAATCAGACATTTTTCTCAAAAGTGTATCTTTTCTACATTTTTCTACAAGTGTATCTTTATAATATTTAATGTACAAGTTATATTATAAGCTATAAAAAATTAGCATAAATTAGCGCGAATTTTACTTTGTGCTATAGAGTAGACAGTTTGAAAAATTGTCTGATTGAAAATAATCAGCTATATAGTTTCGATGTAGAATTCTTTCGGTTATTTATAATTTTAGTTTGACAAAAAGAGAGACGTAATTTTGTTGGATTAATATCACTTCATCAAGAATAAAAATGTCTGACGAAACAAATTGAAATATAATAACTTAGCATAACACTAAATGTGTTGTTAAAATTGAAGAAGAAGAGTGGCACATTTAAAATATTGTAGAAAATCACAATAAAATAGTACGCTACATATGAAGCAGAAAAAGGAACGAGGAAGAAACATAATTAAGAAACATATAGAATTCAAAACTTACCGTCTCCACCATATCGAATCCTCCTCCGTACACCATATCTCGTTCCCCTTCGCTTCGAATTTGACACTTTTGACAGATGTCGTCCTCGCGCGCGATCGCCGAGGATCGATCCCTCAGTGCACTGAGTGCACTCGATTGAGAGGAGAGATCAAATTTACTTCGTCTTGGCGCGATCGCCGACGACGGCGACGATGGAAAATCCACCGGATCCTCCTCTTCGCCCGGTGCCTTTTTTCGTCAGTAGTTTTATCCAGTTGTCCTGGTCACGATCCCTCCTCGTCGCGTGCGCGGCCGTGTGCCTCTCGCGAGTCCTCGCGGCTCCTCGCGGCTCCTCGCGATTCCTCGTAACCTCGTGTGTCGCGTACGATCGACCGACTGACCGCCGTCGCTGAACC